TTTCTCGCTTACCTCCAATGACATGCCCAGGTTAAAGTAATAGCTGAAATACATTGCCAGCGAACGGCGAACTCACCACAGTGTAATTCACGCTGTCAAAACAACCGCAAGCATATGAAATTAGCACAGCCAATGCGAAATACGAAGTTCGCTCGGCGGCGTTTCATGGCGATAGATTTATTTCTATCGCCCTGCTGGGCGATGACATCTGTACGTGCCAAAGGTGGCCGTATTTCTTTTTTGATTTCAAAGTTTTAGAAGAAAACACCATAAACACGAATTATTTTTATTGTTTGAAACATAAGTTGTAGATTTGCTCAATCTGGCTTGAAATAATATAATTAATAATAATTTCTCTTTGTTTTGCATTTACATTTGTTATCATTTCCTCATTTCTAAACATGGTTTCATTTTTTCTACATATGGTCACCCAATTTAAAAAGGCGACCAAATGGTATCAGCTTTTCTCGTTGCCGCTGTAATTATGTTTAAGTAGGCGAAATAGCTGGGCGAACGATGAAAACCAGCATCGCCCAAATGCGCGAAGTTTGCAATCGCCGGTATTGTATTTCAAGAATAATGTGTTCTGTAAACTAGAAGGTATGTGGCGAATTTCGAAAAGCGCTTACCAATCGAGATTCACCACTCACCTTCTAGTTTAGAAAACACATTAATTTAACCTGCGCATGTCATTGGAAGTAAGTGAGAAACTGTGAAAATGCTTTTCCACTGTATTACCTGTAATGCAGTGGTAAACAAGCAAGTGAAAAATTTTGTCTTGCGGCGTATTATAATGTGTTACTCCATCGATGCAAAGCGTAAGCGCTTACCAAAGAACCAAAGTTTATGCTGGGAAAAGTTAGACGAGGAATAAACAGTTAGATCACTGTGCAAGTTTTAAATTTTGAGCAAAGATTTTGAAAGCTGAACCCACTTAATTGGGACGTTCTAAATTCAATGGCATCCCCCGTTTTACCAAATTGGCTCCGGTTTTCGAGATATCGGTACTTAAAAATTTTATTAAATTTTAACTATTTTATAAATAACTGCGTCAGTTTTGAAGTTATTTTACTAAGATCTTGCACATAGCGGTTTTTTAATAGTACCTTAATTATTCCTTAAAATTATCGAAATTAAAATTATCAGCCATGAACTACTTCAAACTCAAAAACTATTTTGGGTTTAGTGCCTTTGCCGTGCAGTTAATATAGAGCTATCTGTTCGACCAAAACCAGAGATTAAAAGTTGGTGCGGAAATCCTTTGCGTTGCCTGTATGTAAAAGAAAGATTAAATTTGATGTTATTCCGTTCTTGTACATTGGTGATAAGTCTCCTAAATTTGTTTCTAAAGTGACTAATCTCGGTTTTGTTATAAACACTAACCTAACATGCACTGACCATGTTAACTCTAAGGGCCGGTTACTCAATGTCTGGTTAACGCTAATCCTCGGTTAAACATAGTTATCGACGTTACCGACTCCCTGTTGTATGCATGGAGTCGTAGACGTCGATAACGATGTATAACCGCAGATTGGTGTTAACCAGACATTGAGTAACCGGCCCTAAGTCTATTATACTTTAAGAAATTTAAGAATGTCTGCTACTTATACGCCATTAATAGTTAGGCGTAAACTGGTTATTCAATTAATATTGCCGATTATCTGCTATTCCGAACTAGTCTACAGCAGCCTGGATTCTCAATCTTCTTATACAATTGATGTAGTATTCAATCATGTTACTCGATATGTTTTTGGGCTATCGAAATTTGAGCGAATATCCGACTGGAAATTGTATTTTTTGTAATTCGGCTAATGATGGATAAAGATCCTAGATATCTATACGAAAAATTATCCTTCTCAAAGTCTGCGCGCCTTACTGACCCAAGAATGATAGAATACAAGATTGCGCCCATCAGAGAGGATTTTTGAGATTAAGTTTTGTGTGACGTCACACTGGTGCATTTGCGAGAGATAAATGCCAAAACGCGAGCAAGAATGGAAGAAGAAGAAAAAAATGTTCAAGTAAAACGTAAACAAGTTGCACGAGTGTGACGTTATACAAACAGCGATTCTGTCAAATTCACTGAGAGCGGAATAGCGGTACCGAGATGGGCGCTACCTTTTATTCTCTACATCGTGTTACTGACCTGATTATGTCCAAGTACCATTATCTAACGTCTGTAAGACTATTTTTCGTCAATGCTATTCCCACCTGGAACACGGTTCCAGGACATATTCGCAACAGTCTAAATTAAAGCAACCTTAAGAGTATTTTGTATTCTCATTTTAGTTAACTTATTATCAGTTGAAGTTCGCTATCTATACGGGAAAATCTAAAAAATAGGTACACTTTCCAAAAAAAAGAAATTATTTTTAAATTTGTGAGCACACGTATGTTTTATATACCATTTTATTCGCAATCTCTTAATAAATCAAATAATATAACAGTAATTAATTTTCATCAAGTGCTTGAAAATTGGACGAGGAATAAACATGAAATAGAAAACAAAAGAATAAGTTGGGTTCAAATTACGCTGTTCAAGTTGTAAACTTTGAGCATAGTATTTGAAAGTTGAACTCACTTAATTGGCATGTTCTAAATTCAATGGCATCCCCCGTTTTACCAGATTCGCTCAGGTTTTCGAGATAACGGTAATTGAAAATTTGATTAAACTTTAACTATTTTATAAACAACTCCCTCAGTTTTGAAATTATTTTACAAAAGTTTTGCACATAACGGTTTTTTAATATTACCTTAATTATTCCTTAAAATTATCGAAATGGTTTCACTCCAAAACAACTGATTACTCAGATATATGTTTTTGCGATATAACTCTAACTTCATATCTGAATAATAAATTGTATGCGTGCTATATGTTAACGTGAACCTATACTAAATTTTTACCCGCTTAATTGGATGAGTTATGACGCAAAACAACGTCTCTGAACAATCAGTTGTATGGGAGCTACATGTTATAGTAAACCGATTTTGATGATTTTAAGAGATAGCGTAGGTAATATTAAAATACAATCGTGTGCAAAACTTCAGTAAAATATCTTCAACACCGAGGGAGTTTTTTTTTTTTTTAATAGTTAAAATTTAAGCAAAGTTTTAAGTACACATAAGTAAGAGCAACTATCAGAACCTTTGTTAAAACAGATATATTCTGACTACTAAAAGGGGCATCACTAAAAGTAGTAAATCACGGTTTGTACACACTTCTAGAAAAAATTTGTTTGAAGCATTTTACAGGTATATGTAATTTTATAAGGACTAGTAGTTCTAGAAAGATTTAGATCGTTTCGACGTATTTTCCAAATGTGCCTTCAATTAAAATTGTTTTGGAATAAAAATTACGCTCAAGATCGCAGAATATTTTATCTTTAAAAGTTAGTTTATTCTAAAACCACAAATCTTGCTAAGGTACTAAATTATTTTTAAGTGTTTGTAGAATACAATACCTTTTTAGAAGGTGTTCAAAATGAAACGCTTCAAAATCTAGACGCGATAAACCGAAAATTTTTAAAATTTTGGTAAGAAGAGTTACAAATTTTGAATTACTTGCCATTAAGTTATTTTTTAAAGCACATTTTAGTTACCTACTACATGTGAGTGTCCACGTTAGTACTAGTTGCCCATAAAATTTCAAATCAGTATATTGTGTGCTCCAAAAGTCATGACATAGTTAACTTTTCACCACTTAAAAGTTACACAAAAAATTCACCTGTTTTTAATATTTTTTTGAATGGAAACATAACTATGATAAATAGCCCAGTAAAATTAGACTGTTTCTTAAACAAAATGAATGCCAAAAGAAATTTATGGGCGAGACTGTGAATCCATGATCTACGTGTCAAATAGAAGTAAACTGCATCAAAAAATCGCTGTTACAAATTTTATTTTTTTTTCTTACCCAATTTATCTAATTTTACTGGGATAATCGCTTTGTATTTTACGATCCCGGCCGTGTTATAAGCGTCGTACAAAAAATTTTGGTATACAAGTGTGGAGAACGAAACTCTCTAGTTTAGAGGTTTGGGATTTTATGTATTTTCAACAGAAATTGTCAAAAAATGGCGAAAGCCGTGACACTATAAATTTTTTTTTCAGTTTTTGCTAATTTTTTACTATAAAAAATGCTATTTTTAAAAAACCTATACCGTAAATGTGGGAAATTAAATTGTCTACATAATTGTATTTAACCATTTTTTACGAAAAATGCAAAATAAGCTTGAAAATTGGAAAAAACCCAAAAAAACTTAAATCCAAGATGGCGGATGTTGCCAAATGAAATTTAGGGGCAAAACTGTGGATCCATGATCTACGTGTCAAATAGAAGTAAACTGCATCAAAAAATAGCTGTTTCTTTTTTTAATGTTCCTACCAAATTTATCTAATTTTACTGGGCTAAAAAGCTATGCAACAAAGTGATTCAACATTTTTTCAAGTCTTCAAATATACGTCTATGATTATATCCAAAAGCAACCAGCTTGATATAGTTTACAGCAATGGAAATAAAGCTAAATAACACATTGACCCAAATAATACAAGGGATTAAAAAAGGATTATTTAGGAATTTAAATAATCTGAGCCTGCATAATACTTAAATGGCATGTAACCGTCTCGAGTGTTTCATTGATCCTAAAAAATTATATTCACCTCAAAAGGAAAGAACTAATTTTTGTATGTGTAATTCCTAACTGCTCGACTCGGGATATCTTACAATTGTCTCAAAGAGGGGATATTCCTAGAGGATCATTACTATACAAATGCTAAAATTTAAATCTCATTCCGGTCGCATTGCAGGATTTTTTAGTTTTTGACTTGGTCTAATGTATAGTCTGTAAATTTCATTAAATACTAAATGTTAGTTTTTGCTTTTGTGAAAAGTTATTTTCCATTTTTAAATCATCTAGCTCTATAGTGTATACTAGTTATATCGTACATATTTTATATCTAAGTGTCTTTAATATCTATCTCGTTTCCCTTTTACTTTGCAGAAAAGAAGCTCTTGGTTCAATGGGAAACGATGCTCCACTTGCCTGTTTATCTGCTTTTCAACCACTACTTTACGATTACTTCAAACAATTATTTGCTCAAGTTACTAATCCACCCATCGATCCATTTCGTGAAAAGGTTGTAATGTCAATGCAAAGCCCTATAGGGCCAGAAGCGAATTTACTCCAACCATCTGTTAAACAAGTACATCGCATTTGGTTACAAAATCCGATTCTAAGTATTCCTGACACAAATGTATTGAAGAGTAACATCCACAGGGGATGGAAAACAAAGGTTTTGGATTTAACTTATGAGTTTGAAAAAGGAGTTAGGGGCTACGTGGATTGCATTGACGATATTTGCCGCCAAGGTTTCGATGCCGCTTCTTCTGGTTATCAATTGTTAGTTATTTCGGATAGAAACGCTGGTCGTGGAAGAGTCCCTGTATCGGCATTGGCTGCATTAGGCGCTTTACATCATTTCTTAATAGAAACTCTTCAACGGATGAAGGTTGGAATTATAGTAGAAACAGCTGAGGCTCGTGAAGTCCATCACATTTGTGTATTGCTTGGCTACGGTGCAGATGCAATTTGCCCTTACTTGGCTTTTGAATTAGCACAAGCGCTTCGGGATGATTGTGTCATTAATTCCGATGTTAATAATAAGCAAATTTATAATGCTTATGCCAAAGCTATCGAAATGGGTGTAGCAAAGGTTATGGCTAAAATGGGCATAAGTACTCTACAGTCTTATAAGAGTGCTCAAATTTTTGAAGCTGTTGGAATAGGTGAAGAATTAATTAGTAAGTGCTTTCGTGGAACGGCGAGTCGGATTGGAGGTATTACTTTGGAAACAGTTGCAAAAGAAGCTATAGAACGGTACAACATGGCATTTGGCGATAGATTATTTGACACTCGAATTTTGCGAAATCCTGGTAATTATCATTGGCGTAATGGAGGGGAAGCTCATATAAATGAGCCTGCTGCTATTGCAAGTTTACAAGAAGCTACGTTAAATAAAAACTGGAACTCATTTGAAGCGTTTAAATCGACAACATTAGACAGTGTAAGGAAGTGTACACTCAGAGGACAACTCGAGCTCGTTACCGATCAAAATAAAGTAGATATATCGGAAGTGGAGCCAGCATCAGAAATTGTTAAAAGATTTGTTACGGGGGCCATGAGTTTTGGTAGTATTTCTTTGGAAGCACATCAGACACTGGCTATTACTATGAATCGTATTGGAGGAAAAAGTAACACCGGCGAAGGTGGTGAAAATTCAGAAAGATATTTAGGTAAGTATTTCTTATTAGGTTTGGGTAGTTCTTGAACTAAATGGACTAAAGAACAAGTTCATCTCACTAGTTCGGTATTTTTATTGAACTAAATTTGTCAGTGCTACTATTTCTCCTTTTGTATCGCGATCCCAATATTCGTGTGATATGTATGTATCTCATATTTACAGGTACGTTTTAAAACGCTTTCGCTTTGTTGCTACTTCAGTTTCTTGCGAAAGAGGTTTTTCAGGGCGGGGCAAATATTAAACTAGCGTAAAACGCTTTTGAAATTAAACACGCTTTCTAATTAATTGTTTTTGCATTCAGCTTGCTTAATAAAATAAAATTCATTTTCCATTTTAAGAAGAGCTATAAAAAATTGGTTTCATTTGGTGGTCTTCAAGCTTTACGGGCAATAAAAATGTTAAATTTGGAGTTTGTGGGCTGAAAATCATGTTGCACTTTTTGAATAATAGGCGTTTTTTAGAAAACTTTTACGTGTGTTTTGCTGTGCTTTTCGAAGTTTGAAAAGAAGCAGTCAACAAGGATGGAAAGACACCACTGTTTAGACTTTTTGCTGCAAAATATTATTAAGGGGATGATACCCGAAGTTTTTTGTTGAAACTTATACGTTCCGTTCCGTAGTCCGGGAGTTAACGACAAACATTTTCGGGTAATTTTCGCAAGCCTAATTTTTTGTCAATGAGGTATTCGAGTAACGTACGATACTAATTTGGACGGGGGTTAAAATTGTAACGATAAATAAGAAAGACAAATTTATAGCCGCGTACGCGAAACTTCTTGTACGTATCATTTGACATAAAAGAAGCTAAAAAAATATCGTCTGCCGTCTAAATTCTAAGGCAAAATCGTCTGCTACCCACAAAAATATCGCAAAAAAAAAAACAATTTATTTCCGCAAAGACGAAATTAATTAAAATGCTTATTTTTATAGTAACAAAGAGAAAAATAATAGTCTGCCGCCAATAACATACAGCGAGATTGTCTGCCAGTGAGTTATTGGCCAAAACGCTTAAAAATGTTAGAATGATAGTTACACAATCGGAATTGATTGAAATAAATCTATATTTTGTAAATTTTTGCGTTTATTTTAACAACTATAGTCACATTCAACATCTCTGCTTCCTTTATATCGTGGTTCAAGAACATCATTCATCTTTGCGGAAATATATATATTTTTTGCGATATTTTTGTGGGTGGCAGACGACTTTAGCCTTCAAATTTAGATTGTAGAAGATATTTTTTAATCTTCTTATATGTCAAATGATACGTACAATAAGTTCCGCGTATGCAGCTATGAATTTTTTGGCTTAGATTTTGCTATAATTGTAACCCTCCTGTAACCCCCTACCGCAGATATGCGGTGGCAGACGTTCAAATTAGTATTCTACGCTACACGCATAACTAATAGAAAAAATATAAGCTTGCGGAAATGGGTTAATTAAATCTGTTGTTAACTCTCGGCCTATTATACCTAGCCTAATTATAAGCAGTGATGGGCACACTTAAATACTTTTGTACTTAAAGTACCAGTTTGGGTATTAATACCCAAATACTTAATCAGACTCATTGCGTAAGTCGTAAATTAGGATAAATTGTACGATTCGACAACATCGGCATTGTCGACTGTCGTGCTAAAATAAGTAAACGACGAAAATCGTCGAAAACTATGCAGTGCTGCCAAGTTTTTCCGAGTGGAAATTTTAGGCAATGACGTGAAATTTTCGATACCATTCGACTCTCGAAAAACGACTTGCTCGCAATGAGGCTGAATATTGGGAGATGTCTAAATATTCAAGTAGAAAGAACTTAGATATTTAGGAGTATGCTAAATACTTCAAATAAAAAATACTTAGGTAAATATTTAGTTGCAAAATACCCGAGTAAACAATACCTAGGTATTTAGGAGTTTCCTAAATACTGAAGTACAAAAAACTTAGGTATTTAGGAGTTGTTAGATATTAAAGTATAGAAATGCTATTTCTATATGTCCTTATTAACTTAAAAATTAAACAAATACAAGTTGATTATTACACACAGAAAATTCTGATTGTTATCGTCGCCAGAAAATACGTTGAATAAAGTTAATTTCGGTTAATATAAACGAATGTCACAAAAGCTCTGTTCGTTTACTGCGCCTTTTGAAGTTGCCACTTAACTACTGCGGCAAGTGTTAGGGTTGGTCCCTACACCACCCCTTTCCAAACCTAGGCGCGGAGAAATGTATCCAGGGTAACTGCGTATGTTGGTGATGCGTCGCTGCTAACTCGTCCCTGGTGAAGTAAGCCGATTTAAGCCTGTCAATGGACACCGTGACTTGTCTTGATCCAATCAATATTGTATACGTCTTGGGGTACCTGTTTACGACGAGGTACGGCCCCTCGTACGGCGATTTCAATGGCTTGCGGATAGTGTCATCATGTAAAAATAAGTGACAGCAGGATCTCAGATCTTTTGGCACGAAAACGGTGTGCTTTCCATACTGTGAAGTTGGCGTTGGCCTAGCCATTTCGAAATGTTGTCGCAAATCCCACAGGCAGCTCTGCTCATCTACAGGGGCCTCCAGGAAATCGCTGGGTAACTGGATAGGCTGTCCGTAGAGCATCTCTGCTACGTATACGCCCAAGTCCTCTTTCACTGCCCGTTCGTAAGCCTAAAAGAACGATGGGTAGGACGTTGACCCAGTTCCCGTATGCAGCGTGACATCTGAGGGCGGCTTTCAACACCTGATGCCATCTCTCCGCGAATCCTTTCGCTAGAGGGTGGTAACTGGTTGTATGGATGTGTGTGAAGGCAGAACTTGTTTTTGAAGTCGTCCAATCTATAGTATTTTTAATGAATGAACTCCACTTTCAGCTAAAATGTCAAAACTTTAACCCTCCGTAAAAAATTCCGAACCTCCTCTTTCATAATATATAGGATTGGTTCGTGTTGAGTGACCAGTGTTGTTGTACAGTGATACTGGAATCACAAAAGTTATTTATGCAGGTACAAAGACACTTAAAATTTTAATAGTTTACTCTAATGCACTATCTAAAGCTAGTTCATCTTAATAGGCTTCAAAATCATTGCAAGGCTCCAACTCTGCCTCCATAACATACTGAATGCAAGCATCATCTTCAAAAGAGTTGTCTTCACACGTTTCAGTCTATTAGTTTGAAGTTGGTGAATATGCTTTTGCTACCAAGTTTTTACCACTTGAATATTGTTGCTGTGACCGTAAAAGTTTAATCCGCCTTTGTGCTCAATAATGTTTATGAATAATTGTGAAGAAAGTGCTTGGGTTGACTTCAGTGTACATCGACATGTGTGTGTTTTATCAAAACTATAACGAATTTTCGCATGAAACTTTACGAGGATGCTAAGAAACAGATATGTTTACATAAATTCTCACTATTTGTAATTTGTTGTTTAAATTGTTTGCACTTCCGCTGGCAAATTTTCAATTAAAAAGTGCAGCTATCACTTATATTTATATTTCCATAAATGCACGATCTTTTCTATGTTCCCGTGTGATTTGTATATGTTCATTAAATGTATTTTATTTTATTTTTTAACAATATAAAACGTGTTTAGTAATTTCGCTACTTTTCTTCAACAAAGTAAACAAGCAGACAAATCAAAATGGCTGTATTGCTCGAACAGAAGGGTGCTACCAGATGTTCGAAATTTGAGGACAGTAAAATGTCGAACTTGTATTTCATAATGACCACAACATAAGGGTATATTTGAATATGTGCTTTTTCAAATAACAACCCCAAAAAAATTTTCAATTATGGCCATTTTTTAATAAAAATGTATGTTTTTCTTTTGAAAAGCTTTTAGAAGTTATTAATTATTCTTATTAGCTTTAAATCAACTCGTTTTTAATTTTTAAAATGTAATTATAAGTATTTAGAGAATGTACACTTTTTCCATACTTCTTGCATTTTTTAATAAAAATAAAAAAATGTTAAAAAAACGCTTGCGGCGCTATGTTTTTTTTAAATAAAAGTCAATATTTTATAAAACCTAAAAATTCGAGTAAAAAATTTATTTGATATTACTTTTGACATTATTCAAATCGTCTGGCAGCACCAACTTCGGTGTTCAGTTGCTACCCTCGCATGTTTACTACTTTTATATATATTTTATCGTGGTTATATTAACAAAATCGGTGTTTGGTGTTTGACACTTCTTTGACAGCTCAACTCCGCCATTTAATATAAAAAATCCTCACGGAAAATTTATTCATGATAGGAGGAAAGGGAAAAGAGAAAAAAACTTCCGGAGAGTTTCTGTTCAGAATCGGCCTGAATATATCCCCGGTGCCAGCACCACTCTTCTTTGAGTCTGCTATTTTGCCAGCCTTCCTTGCATAAGCTGTACGTATACTTTTTATTTTTGTTTTTAGGTCTTCAATGGAAATTTTTACCTCCATCTCACTTAATATTGCCCGGTGAGCCTCTTTCCGGGCAAGGTTATTCCGGTACGCTTGCACGTGGGGTCCCATAAACATGGGTGGTGCTCATAGCATTCAACCGGTTTTATTATATTATTTCTATTCATTTTATACAATTGTCTATAAAAATTATGAAATTATTTTAAATTCTAAAATTGACAACTGTGAGGACCAAATATCTCTGAGGAATTCGACCCTCACAAATACCGACCACCATAGCACCAGAAATCGGCAAAATGACAATACACGTTGCCAAAGTAACGCAACAGCAACACAAGTCAGAGCAGCTAGCCACGCAACAAGCCACAGCAACACTAGTCATAGCAACACCCGACAGCCTCTTCGTTACCAAGACAACGTAACATCACACAGCAAGATGTAGCTGCACGACCACGCAACATTAAGCACACAGTCGATTAAAGAAGCAACACGACGGAAAAGTACTCACTCAGCACGAGACTGTGGTCGTGAATGGGCGGCTATTGGCAAGGAGTAATTTCATCTGCGCCGGCTTGAATCGTCGGGCTTGACTTCACTTCTGAAGCAGCTGCTGGTA